TCTGCCGTTATTGCTATTGTTGGTTGTGGATAGTGAGCATCGGACCTTTCCAAGCTCTTCACTACTTTCAGCCGGAGGTTAAGTTTGCTACTTATTGAGTACATAGGGTCAGATGTACTATTAATACACTCTTCCCTTTGTGTACATATCTAAGTGTTGCTGACAACGGTGGTTGCTAGTTAGCTGTATGCGGATTAGACTGGAGATTTCGAGGCAGCACATATGTTTCGTTCGGTGTCCTCCCTTTTATCTTATATTCTTACGGTTCAGTCTTCCACATAGTATTGTTTATTGTTCTGACTTTGTAATTAGTATTCCATAGAGTTCATATACTTGGTGATACCAGATTTTGTGGTGGATTCATTGTATTGAAATTTTTAACTTCTATTATTTATACCATTCCAGTTTTGAGACTATTTCTTATCATTATTGAGGTATAATTCCGCATATTTATTATTGAATTGCCTAACAAGCGGTGCTAGACGATATCGTGCTTCCGGTGGGAGTTGGGTCGTAACATTCTTCCCCTGAATCATGAATCCCATCTTCAAATATCTAAAGTTCCACTTGATATCCCCCAATGTAATCAACCATTGAATTCCCAAAACTAAACTACACCTTCCCAATGGTAAAATCAACATGTTACTAGCAAAGTCGACACCCTGCATCCTCCAAGAAAACCCTTCATACATGTACTTACTGTATATTGTATTCCCATCTGATATTACAAGCAAATGGAGGGATTTCCTGCAAGAAACATTCCAATCTTTTTAGTGTATTAAGATTCAAGAATTTATGACTACTTCCTATATCAATCAAGATTTGCACAACCTTTCCACCCACCAATCCAATCACTTCATTGTCCTGTAATTCATCGACCCAGTTATAGCATGCACACACTTGAGAAATCATTGCAAACCCATTTTCCTCATCATGCTCCCCATATTGAGGCCATTTCATCATACTTCATCCTTGTGGACCGTCCTCTTTTTCCCCTCCTTCCCACGAATCATCACTCAACTCCATATAGAAAAGTTGTCTCTTCCTAAACCATTGAAGACTAGGAGAGTACTTCTCATCACAATAAAAATATAGCCCCTTAAACATCTTTTCCTCTATTGCAGGAGGGATCAACATTTTAGGACCCTTTGATGGAATTTGATAGCCTGAACTTGAAGGAAAAATGGTGGTGGTGGTGGGGGGGGGTGTCTTTTATCGGGCTAATTTGGGTATTGATAGTAATGGAGGTAAGGATTTGGAAGATTGTTTAGGTAAGGATAAGGTCTGTTCTTGGATCTTGGCTAGGCTTATGGCTTTTTGTAAAGTTCTACGCTAAAACATTTTCACTGGGATGCCACTCCTCACTTAATTCTACCCTAGTCAACAATTAGTCAAATACATCAACATAATGTTGTACACACGAAGGTTGATTAAGATCTTTCAAATCACCCATTGGATCATTATATAATGTAGTATCAAATCTACCAAAAAGAGCTTTAACATACTCATCCCATGTTGGCCATTCTCGAGTAATCCTACTTTTCATGTACCTTTGATGCAGTCTTTTCCTTCTAGATGCAATGATGCTAGGTTGACCTTCAAATTTTCTGAGTATTTTCTACATCAAATATTGCTCGTTGGAAACCTAGTCCCTCAACTCGCTCCCATCAAATTTTGGAACTCAATTTGATACTTACGAGTAACCAGTGTCTGAAGCTTCCATATGCTGCTCTTCAAGATTCGGACTTCCTCTAGGATTTTGAGGACGGTTTTTACTCGTTGGAAGTTTATATTCACTCATCCAAGAACCAAAAAAAAGTCTTGAGTTCCTCCATGGACTGAGCTTGTCGGACCTCCATTGATTTTCTGAATTCCTCAAAGGATTCCTTAATACCATCAACTTCGAGTCAATTACTCAAATGGTCACTCAACTATCTCAAATTATCTTCTAAAGTCACTTTTCTTTCGTTTGTAACAACAAAGTCACTGAACTATGTCTATTGCATTCAGAAGGTCACCCAACTTCCAAATTTTGGATTGCCAAATACCTATTTTACCCTCTAAATTATAAATTTATTTATTTATTTTTTTTAAAAAAAAAAATTAATATTATAATTTTCCCTTTTTAATTTATATTATGGACTTACCTATAGAATAAATAAATATTATTTATAAATTAAAAAAATATAAAATATTTAAGCATTTATAATGTTGGAATAACAAAATAATGAGCATAGTAAAAGAATTAATTAGAATAATTTATTTGTAAAAATAATTTTAGTATTAACAACAAAAATTAAAAAATTTATTTACACAGTTCAGAATGTAAGAAAATAAAGGTTGTAAAATATATATTCCATGCACGTAATATAAAAATAATTATTTAAATAAAAATATTTTTATATTATATATTATATATTCTTGAAAATTATGCTCAATTATATTATATATATTCCATGCACGCTTTAACATAACATATTTTACCATATACAGAATTAGTCCCCCTGCTTTCTGGTGATGTAACTTTGTGTCGTCGAAAAGTTGGTAGAAACATAATAATATAATTGAGCATAATTTTCAAGAATATATAATGTATATTATAAAAATACCTCTATTTAAATAATTATTTTTATATTATGAGCATGGAATATATATTTTACAACCTTTATTTTCATTCATTCTGAATTGTGTAAATAAATTTTGAATTTTTGTTGTTAATACTAAAATTATTATTACTAACAAATTATTCTAATTAATTTTTTTTACTATGCTTCCAGCATTATATATGCTTAAATACTTTCTATTTTTTAATTTATAAGTAATATTTATTTATTCTATAGGTAAGTTCATAATATAAATTAAAAAGGAGAAATCATAATATTAAAAAATTTAAAAAAATTAAACGGAAGATAAATGTTTATAATTTAGAGGGTAAAATAGGTATTTGGCAATCCAAAATTTGAAAAATCTAGTTGAGTGACCTTCTAAGTGCAATAGGCATAGTTCAGTGACTTTGTTGTTATAAACGAAAGTAAAGTGACTTTAAGAGATAATTTGGGATAGTTGAGTGACCATTTGAGTAATGGACTCCATCAACTTCTTTACGAAACTCTGCATAACGTCATTCTCCCATGGCTATGTTCCTGTGAGGACCAGTGGCTTTGATACCAAATGATACAGCTTGATTCGAAGTGAGCTTAAGTGAAACGATGATCTCCTAAGGAACTTTTAGAAGAAGAGTTCCTGAACAGAAATCGGTTGCAATCGGGATTCAAGAATCAGAGAAAAAGTAGAAAGCTAGAGAGAAAAAAGAGAGTTATTTTCATTTGAATTCAGCCTCTGTCAATATACAAATGAATTTTTTCTTTTAAACCCAAATTAGTTACTAACTATTTCCCAAACCGTCTAACAACTTGCTACCAGCAATTAACTAACTCACTTGCACAAAACGACACTGAGTATCTATTCTCTCTTCACTAACAATTCACTTATTAAAATGACACTGCTTCTACTTTTTTACAATATGAACACTCAAGTTCTTATAACTATTTTTGGACATAACAACACCTGAGAATGTTGTGTTTCCAGTCGCGACGCAACCACTACATTACTTGGATCAACTAAGATTCCCAGTGCGGCGCGACCAATATATTCTCGAAGCCAACTCTTTCATACTTTGGTTGGACTTGGTTAAAATCGTCTCGGATTTTTCCAACACCTATAAATAATTCTTAAACTCGTTTTAGGGGGAGTTCGACCCTTGTGAAGGAGAAACGCTGCTAGAGCAACTTAGGAGTCGGAAATCATAGAGTTTTTCTTCCTTTCTCTTCTTATCCATAGTTTTATGCTTTTAAACTTTCATACGAACGTTAGCATGAGTGGGTCGTTCTCTTAGTTCTACGGTTATGGATGCTAAATGTATGTTGACGTTCGAAGTTTGAGTTGACTACTTTGATTATACCGGATTGATTTGTTTATTTAATCTTTAGCTCTATTATTTTACTTTGTAGCTAACATAAAAATACTATCTACGAATCTAGAGTTAACTCGAAAGTGAATTCTAGCATGTGCATAGGATTAAAAAAAACAAGTTCTTGAACCTGGACATTAAGGAACAAATTCACCATTAGAATAGACATATACTTAATCATCTTGCTTGGTTATTATGCATGATAATAAACACGTTCTTGTTATATGCTAAGATTAACTCGAATAAGCAAGTAAGAAGTTCAATTCTTACGAGTAATATTAACCTTGTGAATTAACAAACCAAACAAATCAATTAGACAATTTAAACAACTCAACAAGATTGTTAGCTAACCTATAACTTAGAAAAGTTTTCTCCTATTAATTTTATACTAAGTTGCCTAAGTGTTTCATTCTATCACTAGTATCTTTAATTGCTTTATAATTTTTGCAATATTTCTAGTTAAGAACCACATCTTCAGGAATAACTTAAATAGATAATTCATACTAGTTTAATTTAATTGATTGTTAATTACATGTTCTCATGGGAACAATACTTTACTTTATCATTATTATTACTTGTTGACCATGTAGACTTGTGGGTGCATTTGACCCCAACAAGTTTCTGAGATATCATAGAGTTCCTCTTCGTTGATCAATCTATTATGGTCGAGTATCAAACAGTATTGGTGATCAAAACCTCATTTCATGCGTCTTCGTGCAAGAACATATAGCACTTTCAATTTTACTTGTTCTAAAACCAGCAATTACACCCGAAGACATGTAGAAATTGTAGTTCTCCCTCCAACTTCAGGGTAAATTGAACTGAAATCAACTCTCTTGTGACAAAGTAGGAAATATGAACAATGGGAAGCTAAGATAAGACGAGATCATCACATGCTATGACACCCGCTCCCCACTCCCCCCCCCCC